ATGAGGACTGATAGTAACGATATGCGTACGAACGTAGAGCACTTGACTAGAAAATAGAGAGCAGATTGTAGATAATGCATTTCATTTCAATATCATTTCATCAGCGTTGTAATTGTAAACTCAAACACCTTTCGACCGCTACACCTTCTAGAGTTCTTGAGGATGAATGGGATGCTCGAATAAATATGATAATGAATACTGGGCATTCCGTTTTGAGATATTCGACCGCTAAATTACCTCGATACTCGACGCATAGTGGTTGTTTACATCATCACTTTAGCTGTGCACTTCACTGCGCTTATCAAACAGTGAGATACAGCCAAGATGGGCCTATGCAACGGACAGTAATACATTTAACGAAGCAGCTATAATTTAGCGGTGAAACCTAAAGCTTCATCGATTGTCAGTTCTATCAATGCGCGCGGTAGCGGGCGGAGCTAAACTGGTTGAATGATAACCCTGGAAAAAATCACTGGTACAAAACCATTTCAGCAATATTCAATGCGTAGAAGATAATCGAGGATGTAGTGACAAAATCCCGATCAAAGAACGTGTAATGGCAATGGAAAAGGTGTAAGACGGATAGTGATGTAGTTTAAGACGGATTTGTCTGCTGCGACGTGGGAGTAACCCTCACAAACTGTGCTAGAGACAAGTAAATAGGAAGGTTTATTAAATTAGGAAAATCAACACCAACAACGAATAACAGAGATCACACTAGGACGGCAGGCGACTTGAGGCGGTGGGACCGGAAACCAATCACACGAGGTCAGCAACCAGGTGCACGGCGCAATCCCTCTCTACGGTGAGCCACAAAGCTCTTTCCTCTGAGCCACTGAGGCTCTTCCCAACAGGCCACTAAGGCCAATTCACCGAGCCACTAAGGCTCCTCTCCTCAGGCCACTGAGGCCAAACCACTGAGCCACTGAGGCTCTTGTCACCTCGCCACAAAGGCTACTTCTGAGCCTGGGCCCTCTTTCTTACGGGCCGTACAGCTCACAACCAACTACACACTAAGGCACCACACAGATGCCACTGGAACACTGGAACGCTGGAATCTGGAACACCGGAGCTCTGGAACTGGAACTGGAGATACTACAAGGAACCCGGACCCCTTTTATTGGGACCTTCCCGCGCCAATCAGTTGCCTCTGGCAAGGCGGTCTCCCATGACCACCCACGATCAACAACCACCGCCTCCTCCTCGACCTACCGTGCTCAGATCAGCTGATCATAGCTGATCTCTTAAGGCATGCATGTCTCTCCCTGACATGCCTTCAATCCTTCACTCAGTGGATGCCATAACTATTTTCGTTGCGGATGTGCCGAGTAGAACATGTATTTCCCTTTAATTTTGTGTTTACTTTCACTATCCTTTCTCACTGACATGTTCATCAGAACAG